TGGCTGCATCAAAGTTTTCACAGCAAATAAAGCCAATCATCCTACAATTAACAAGTCCTGTGAGCATGTGGTGCTTCAGAAAAAAATCGTAATGAGAATCTAGGAGTCCTTAGTTTTATTCAAAATTCAAGTAAAATACAGCCATGTTTTAACTTAATTTTTCTAGAACACTTCTGAATGTGTCAGTATTTGTTAGAAACAGACCTTACTAGACATTTTCTTGAACACATTCTTTACCCTAAAATCCAAGCAATTTCTTGATTCTGCATTCTCCTTCGTAATATTTGCCCCATCCCCTGATTAAATTTATCCAAGTGGAAATCAAAAGTTTAGTCCAAGATTTTTTAAACATTAATAATAACTATTGCAACACGTTGGAAGGAAGAGAGTGAGGCAAAGCATGGGATCAAGCATCTGACCCCGTCCCTCTGTCCTCTCCTGACATGCAGGGCTTCTATTCCACCGTGCTTGCCGACTTGCACAGATGTCCTCGTACACAGCAGCTTAATACAAAGGATTTAATGCATCTGAAATGTAGTTTTGGTTTCCTTACCCAATGTGTCCATTGTCACAATATTCCATTAATTGCAGGTCCATACAAAGAGCTCAATGCTATGGTCTAGAAATCATGAGCATTTCTCCTGAGAACCACCAGCAAAGAACACAAAGTCCTCTGCCCTCATGGAGCTTAGAGTCTAGAAGTAAAATGCAGACAATAAACAAAAAAATCATAAATGAACATATGTTGCATGGTAGAAGGGGGAGGCAGCGGAGGGGCGGCTGGGTTTCAATATTAACTAGGACGACCTGGCCCAGGCAGAGGGCAACATGTCTACAAAGATGAGGAGAGAAGAAGTTAGCCAAGCAGGGGTGGGGGAGAGTCTTTCAGACACAAGAAACAGCAAGTGCAAATGCCCTGAGACATAAGAAGGCCCAACAGCAGGGAGGGAGTGTGGCTGTGGGCGAGGTGTCCTAGAAGAAGAGTCTAGGAGGCAGCACAGGCTGTTCACCTGGACGTCTCAGGCCATTGTACAGTTATTCTGAATGAATGCAGAACTGCTGCGGGGGTTGAGCCCAGGGGTGACACAGTCACATTTAACTTACATTCTGACTTGTGTTTGAAGAGACTCATTCTGGTGGCTGTGTTGAGGAAGGGCCGAGAAGAGATTGCAGGGGGTCAAAGGCAGACACAGGGCCACTATGAGAAGGTGACACAGTCACACTGGTGGCTGGCCCAGGTGGCAGCAGTGCAGGTGGGGCAGGGGTCCCTTCCTGAGTATTTTGAAGGGTGTGACAGAAAAAGAGCCCTGGACATGCCTCAAAGTCTGAGCAACATTGGAGTTGCCTTCAGCTGGAGAGGAGAGACTGTGGGCAGAGCAGGTTTGGGGGAAAATAGCAAAGGTTTGCTTTGGGGCATATTGAGCTTGTGGTCGCCATCATATAGCCACGTGGAGAAGGTGAATCTGCAATTCATGGAGAAGTCTGGGCTGAAGATATCAGGAAATGTGATCGCAACCCTTCCAGCAATGCGATGGGGCTGCGACTGTGTGCACCGAAGTTGGGGCATTTGCATCCCTTGTTGTTTTAGATGCAGCAGATGCACTTTCCTTCGGAGAGAAACCTGTACTCCTTCCAAACTCCACCTCTCATATTCCAAACGATTTCCATTCCAGATCACGTCTATGGAGAGCAACTTGAAGACCATAGAGGAGGAGAACAAGCTCATAGAACAGAACAACGAGAGTCTGCTGAAGGAGCTGGCCGGCCTGAGCCAGGCCCTCATCTCCAGCCTCGCCGACATTCAGCTTCCGCAGATGGTAAGTTGGGGGCCAGAACGTTGCTGTTCCCTCACAAGCATTTGCTGTGTCACTGTGCAGTACCCAGGGGCTGCCAGTGCAAAGTGCTCGAGGACACCTGTCACCAGCCGTAGAGTTACCACACTTCACCCAGCTCTGACGTGCAATAATAATCTCCCTCACTGGGAACGTGGTAGATACACATATTTAAATTATATTAAGGCCAAGGATTTTTTTAAAGGCCAAGGCCATTTAAAGATGAAAGTTTATTTAAAGCTTGTTTTATAATGTAATATGAATGTTGGAGGCCAGAGCTTCCTCACTGAAAATATATTTCTGAGTAGAAGTTTCCAGGCTTGCAGAATCTGAGATCCAACCATCAGTATCATCCACCAACACGAGAACTGTAAAAAAAAAAGTCTAACTCCCTGTAGACTTGGTGCTTTCTTTATACTAGAGTATAAAGAACATACTTCAGTTCTCCTCATATAGAATAAAAAGCACATAAGTGAGCAAGGAATCCTTATTTCCAAAATCTAAATGTATATTTTAGGTATGCAACTATTTAGAATTCGTAGAAAATCAGATTTTTTAAAGATTTTCACGATTATAAATAAATCTTCGGAGGAAGGGTTTGCTTTGTTGAATACTTTAAAATTCCTCAGAGCCTGCATTCTTGACGTTTTCTAAGTTGCCAATTTTATATATAAAATGGTTTTAAAAAGCAGCAATGTAATGAGGAAATATAATTGATTTTCTTGAAGCTATAAATCCCTCAGTTTACCTGACTTCCCAGCACAGAGCCCTCATCCTAATTCCAAATATGTCTCTTGACCAAAAACTAAATTAATAATGTAATAATGAGTAAATAAATTATTACTCTATGGCTAGTATTAAGGTAATTATTGGATATTTGTGTAACAATCTTTATTAACATTTGTCTGACTCATACTTCAAATGTGTATTGCTTAATATTTTTTTCTTCACCAGTGCCATTAAGAAAAGTAGGCACCATATAAGATACTTGTACCTTGTGCAGGTTAGAGATGGTCACATGAAATATTCACCAGGGCACCAGAGAGTAAGCACGGGGACTCCCACTCTGTAGCTGGGGAAGCCAAAGCCCAGGGAGTTTACGTAACTGGATCAAGTCAGACAGGCCTGGCTTTACAGCTTGGCCTTTGTCCTCTCTGTCACCTGAATCCTATTCCAATTCCATGATTCTCCAAGAAGCTCATGGCCCAGCAAATGCAGAAACTAATGGAAACAGAAAATCATGACTGGACAATACTGATATCTTAGATCACTACTTTGCTAAGCACAACCAAATAATCTTCAAATTTAGAAAGTTTATCTTCTAAGTCGCAGCAAAAACAATAATATCTGATATATCTATAGTATTAAGACCTTTTAAAAGTCCTTTTGTCCAAGTACCTTGTGCAGCAAGACAGGCAAATGTCATGTGTTTTAAAAAGGTGGGAGAATGGAGGCACCAAAGATGGTCAGGCCACGTGCGTGCCCTCTGCACCCTCCCCCACTCCTGCAGCTGACACCCCCAGAGCGCGTCCTCTGCACCCTGCTCCACTCCTGCAGCTGACACCCCCAGAGCGTGTCCTCTGCACCCTGCTCCACTCCTGCAGCTGACACCCCCAGAGCGTGTCCTCCTTGAAGCCTCACATTAGGCCAAGGAGACACCAAAACACAACAAACGAATGAGGGATGAACAAATCTTGACTGTGTAAAACTGATATTCTACCTGAAGAGATAGAGAAATTCAAATAAATAAATATAATTATATAATAATATAATACAAATATATATATATATATATATATATANATGTATATTTTAGGTATGCAACTATTTAGAATTCGTAGAAAATCAGATTTTTTAAAGATTTTCACGATTATAAATAAATCTTCGGAGGAAGGGTTTGCTTTGTTGAATACTTTAAAATTCCTCAGAGCCTGCATTCTTGACGTTTTCTAAGCTGCCAATTTTATATATAAAATGGTTTTAAAAAGCAGCAATGTAATGAGGAAATATAATTGATTTTCTTGAAGCTATAAATCCCTCAGTTTACCTGACTTCCCAGCACAGAGCCCTCATCCTAATTCCAAATATGTCTCTTGACCAAAAACTAAATTAATAATGTAATAATGAGTAAATAAATTATTACTCTATGGCTAGTATTAAGGTAATTATTGGATATTTGTGTAACAATCTTTATTAACATTTGTCTGACTCATACTTCAAATGTGTATTGCTTAATATTTTTTTCTTCACCAGTGCCATTAAGAAAAGTAGGCACCATATAAGATACTTGTACCTTGTGCAGGTTAGAGCTGGTCACATGAATTGTTCACCAGGGCACCAGAGAGTAAGCACGGGGACTCCCACTCTGTAGCTGGGGAAGCCAAAGCCCAGGGAGTTTACGTAACTGGATCAAGTCAGACGGGCCTGGCTTTACAGCTTGGCCTTTGTCCTCTCTGTCATCTGAATCCTATTCCAATTCCATGATTCTCCAAGAAGCTCATGGCCCAGCAAAGGCAGAAACTAATGGAAACAGAAAATCATGACTGGACAATACTGATATCTTAGATCACTACTTTGCTAAGCACAACCAAATAATCTTCAAATTTAGAAAGTTTATCTTCTAAGTCGCAGCAAAAACAATAATATCTGATATATCTATAGTATTAAGACCTTTTAAAAGTCCTTTTGTCCAAGTACCTTGTGCAGCAAGACAGGCAAATGTCATGTGTTTTAAAAAGGTGGGAGAATGGAGGCACCAAAGATGGTCAGGCCACGTGTGTGCCCTCTGCACCCTCCCCCACTCCTGCAGCTGACACCCCCAGAGCGCGTCCTCTGCACCCTCCCCCACTCCTGCAGCTGACACCCCCAGAGCGTGTCCTCTGCACCCTGCTCCACTCCTGCAGCTGACACCCCCAGAGCGTGTCCTCTGCACCCTGCTCCACTCCTGCAGCTGACACCCCCAGAGCGTGTCCTCTGCACCCTGCTCCACTCCTGCAGCTGACACCCCCAGAGCGTGTCCTCTGCACCCTGCTCCACTCCTGCAGCTGACACCCCCAGAGCGTGTCCTCTGCACCCTGCTCCACTCCTGCAGCTGACACCCCCAGAGCGTGTCCTCTGCACCCTGCTCCACTCCTGCAGCTGACACCCCCAGAGCGTGTCCTCTGCACCCTGCTCCACTCCTGCAGCTGACACCCCCAGAGCGTGTCCTCTGCACCCTGCTCCACTCCTGCAGCTGACACCCCCAGAGCGCGTCCTCTGCACCCTCCCCCACTCCTGCAGCTGACACCCCCAGAGCGTGTCCTCCTTGAAGCCTCACATTAGGCCAAGGAGACACCAAAACACAACAAACGAATGAGGGATGAACAAATCTTGACTGTGTAAAACTGATATTCTACCTGAAGAGATACAGAAATTCAAATAAATAA